CATGGCTCTCCCACACTTAAATAATTTTTTTTTTTATGTTTCCCTCATAATTGTATTTTCACCTGTATGGTACATAAATGCGTTTACAAATATAAAATTCCAAATACATACGAGTACTCTCTGCTCATCTCACCCATACCGACGACAATATTTAGTGGATCGTACAAAGAGCACGGCACGGCAACCTAGCCATCGCGTGACCTGTGTTAGTTTTTGTTATATTTAATTTTGTTTCCAATACAATAGTTTTAAGTGAAACAGGTTAAAATATTCCATAATCCTTATAAAACATAATTTTATTTCCCACATAAGTTTATTGGGTGCTTTATATGAAGCGGGGGTGTTGAAACAGACGCTACTAAAGCTAAGCTATACTTACGATCTCGTAACTATAATATATAATATATATATATATATATAATTATAGCTTAGCCATTGGTGAGCAACAAACCTAATGGCGCCAAGCTTAAATAAGGAATGCGTCTTGTACGAATGTTTGAATGATTTTAAATTTATTAATATTGTAAAGCTAAAGTTCATCTCATTTATCCTTCCGTTCGCGGTTAATTATTTTATCTGTTGAGTTGATTTGTATTATGGGGTTTTTAATTTAAAATGTATCGCTGCAGTTACAGTGCGAGAATGATTATAGGTTAATTTATTAATTAATAAACGAAATTTGTTTCATCAATCAGACTTTTTACTCGTGTTAAAATGAATGTGAGAGTATTAATTAATGGTTTTCACATATCTGCAGAGATTTTGAATAGTAAACGAAGGTAAATAAACTAGGAATGAAGCACTTTTTTAATCCGTTGTCTAGGATTAAAAAGGATTTTCTCCTGTGTCCTATTGGGTGAGTTTATAAGCGTACAAATTTTCATATACAAACGAAGCCGCGACACGTTGCACAGCAGTCATTTGCTCAACCATTACGCCAACCGTGCAGTCTAAATTGATCACCCAAAATTCAAAAGAAGGATTTAATTAGTTTATTGTAATGTTTGTAATATTGTAATGTCGTTGTTGTTGTGTGTGATATTGTGTAAGGATTGCAGGTAAGAAATATAATATATAGGTATAATAGATATAATACATTGTCTCATGTACTATATTGGAGGGATAGCAAAGCTGTCAGATATGCCAGTCTACGGACAGATATAGTTTTCTTTTTTATGTGTGTGCAAACAAGTCATTCGGTGCCGCCAATGGACACACACAACACCAGAGGTTTTGCCTGAACGTTTCTGGCCTTTACAATTAGGGAGAGATGGAGATGGCGAAGACTTAGGACGTCGAAAACTTCCCCCACACGGCGAAACACAAAGCTGTGGTTGTTTCACGCAGGTTTTCTTTGAGGCAAATGTACGAATGTGCTCTAGATGCGTTTAGTAGTCGACCAGTATCTTTTCTAAATAAACCTAGCATCCTACAAAAATAATAATCATAACACTAAAAGAGCAAAGAATAACTATCAAAAAATCTACAAATACATGTTTAAATAGAATACATTTTTAAATGTCATAAAGAAATAAAATAGATAAAAAATAAAATTAATTTTCTTATACAAATTAATTACTACAATGCAAATAACCATTAATCTTTCAGAGTAGGTACTCAGAAATAGCACGCGTAATAATCTACTGCATTTTATAACCACATTCTGTTTCAAAACGTTTCTTAGGAATGCAGTTGTTAATATTATGAATTTTATTAAAATAGATCAGGCGCCATTTTTCTTTTTTACTTTTGTAATATCATAAAAATTGCTTTTTAAGACTTGTTATCACTCATTAGGTATAAATTAAATTATTTTTTTTTAGAATTCGTTAGTCAACGTGTTCGTCTTCTCATGCATGAGGGAGCAGGTTCAAAAGTACAATGTAACATTTTTCGAGTAATATGCAGGTAAAGAAAAAAAAGAAAGAAAGAAAGAAAAATCATTTATTCGGTACAACACCAACAATGCAAACAAAAATAACCGTGATTAAAAAAAAAGAGCACAAAATATGTAAATGTAAGTAGGACATACAAAAAATTCTATGATGTTAAATACACTTATAACAGTGTTGTGCCCGACAGCTGCACCAAAAAAGGTCCAGTTCAGCATAAATGCCAGACATCTAGTGCCTGACGCTGATTTTCAACTGAACCTGGTCTTTGCCTATCAAAGATTATTTAGATACCAATGACATAATATGGTAAAGAAAATCATCGTGAGGCAATCTGGACTTACATAATAAAAACTTAAATTATAAGTTTGAAATTACCAAGTCGACTTGAGCATTGTGATGAATGCTCAAACATTTTTCGTGTAAGAAAAGGTATATAAAGAATTTGCTCTACAGTGGGCACTTATAAGCTGATGATGATGAGGAATTCGTTATCCCTTGTGTGTGGCAAGCAATTCTGCTGACATATTTTTTCTGATTGACGTTGTCTTGGACAAAGAATGTTTGTGTCAAAGTCTCCTAGGTTAACTGGTTGCGTTTAAAATCATACAATTTCACATACACAGATCTGGAATAACAATTTGTGAAACACATTAAGAGTTGTTTCATGCGGAAATCGAACCCGCGACACGTTGCTTGGCCACCACGCTAATCGTGCAGTCAATTTTATTTGTTGTCGAAATGCTATTACTTCACTTCTTACTAGAAAAGAAAAATAATCTTAGACTCCTTATTAAAAAGGGCGAGGAAAATAAAATATCCGTTTTTATTAATTAATTTATTTATTTATTACTTGTTTGCATAACATACAGCCACATTCACACATCTACAGCTTAAACAGAATATTTACAATTTTCAAAATAAAAAAGAACTAACATTATATTTTGTATACTAAATGCACAGGAATGTCAAATTCTTAAAACAATACAGAATTTTATTTAAATAAAATTTTTATTTTTATTTTTACTAAAAAAACAATTTGATATGTAATCTTTTACCCGATCGGAGTAAAAAGGTAAGTAATGTGTTAATTAATTATAATAATGTTTTATAATTACAGGTGGGTTTCTCAATATTGTTTGATGAAAAAATGTTAATAATAAATATATTTTAATAAACTTACGACTAGACAGGTACTAAGCAGTGAATACTGTCAAATGTTTGTTACTATGTTTAATGTATTTTAATATAAAATATTATTATTATAAGTTATTAATAAATTAGTAAGTAGTGTTACGCCGTCAAACCATTCTATTACGTGAAAAACATTAAATTATTCATTCATTTATTTAGCATCCTTGTTATTCATAATTTATTAAAATAAAATGTGACTTTTTTAATTTGTTTTATTTTTTAGTTTTTTTTTTTATTCATGACTTTATGCGTAAAGAGAAAAAATAATCACAATTTATTTTAAATAAACCAGAATTACAGTATCACTGGTCTCATTTATAATTAACTTACATTTAATTATAATGAAATTTACAACTACGAATGACTCATTGTTTTTACAATTATTAGGCGCAAAAATCTAAAATACTAATTGAAGTCAAAGAATTACCGTATAGTTCCATCTATCATCAACATTTCTATTACAACTTTTAATATTTATTTTTCAGTTTCATTTGAAATAAAAATACAAAAATAAAATTGTACAAAATTAAAATGGCAAAATTTTAATTTGACGAAAATGAAAAAGATCAATCCGTTGTAGTATTTTTTACTTATTTCTTTCGTAAACTGATACTTATTTACAATAACTTCAAAGTGATGACAAAGTTGTCTTCAACTTTTGTTTTGCTTATTCCCTTTTCTAAAAATATAATCCATTTCTCCTCCCTTATTTGAAGTTGTGTAGAAAATGATTGACAAATTCCATTTGGTAATGTAAACAAAGTGAACAAACAAAAAGGGCACTTATGCCCCTTTGAATAAGATTGTTCTGAGACAACATATTAGGACATCCCCATGGATTTAAAACAAGGGGGATTAAGATGAAAGGAGAAATCTCATGGGCATCGGTAAGTGGATTTCTATGTTTATTTTATCGAGTTGGTATCTTACTTTGTACATTTGTTCATTTTAATGTAATAATAAAAATAGATTAAAAATAAAATAGTTTTTATTTTTTGTTTTTGTCAATAAGTAGAATTGAAATTGCAACTTGTGTAGTTTTATGTAAGATTGAAAATACGCTAAAAAGTTGAGAGAATTTCAGTATTTATATTTTAAATTTTTTATTTTTTATTTTTACGAATTCACTCCAACGAATTACTAATTACTTATTTAAATCTATATTTATTTACAAATTAACACATAAAATTTCACGTCAACCGTACCAATAAAATAACCTTTTCGTTGCAAATAAAACAGTTGACAAACACTGGCTATTATTTAAATCAAACGATATTGAATTCTACTTTCTTTATAATAAAACATTGTAGCAGTCAAAAAATTTAAAACAAAACCTTTTCGACATTTCATTTTTCTAATTTAGATGTAACCAAGGAGCATTGTTAAATATTAAACAATGCTTTACATACGTGTTTGATTTTCAGTCAAAGACATAATATAATTTCATGATAATTACAAATATTCGCCACATTTGAATCTAACCTATCTACTTCATAATTTCAGATAAAATTTAAAACAATTACTCAAGCACGCTAAAAATATCTACAAAACAAACTGCTAGAATTTGATAGCAAATGAGATTCTAACCTCAAACAATCCTAGACTTAATCTAGATCTAAAATGAGGTTCACACATCCATTGGTACATCTACTTAATTTAGTCATCCAAAAATTACTCAGGTGTCTCAAATAACAGCTTAGGGGTCCCAAAACGTCTTAGGCTTCACAAATAATAGCCTAGACGTAACAAAAATTACTCAGGGGTCCCAAATAATAGGTTAGACGTCCCAAAAATTACTCAGGGGTCCCAAACAAGGACTAAGGCGTCCCAAAAATCTCTCGGGCGCGCAGTAACTGAGCATCACTTCACTTAAAAGTTTTTTACCACGTAAGCTGTCGCTTACACTGCCACGGGCTAGGGGACAACGACATGGGGTTCACTGGACAGCAGCCGCCGAACTGACTGGTGGTTATTGCCGTCACTGCTGGAGATGTCACTTGTGCTGACCACAGCTGGCTGAGAAAAGTTCTTGCATAGAACCAGGACCTAGAAAAGAGAGGTAAGGTTGTAGTTATTTTGGTACATAATTTGATATTAGTATCTAGCAGTAAGAGGTATTGTAATTTGGTGTCAAGTGGTTTGAGAGACCTAAAGGTAACGAATCTATGATCAGCTATGGCACAAATTTACAAATTTTAGGCGTGATTCTTAATTAATATTTCGTCTTGCGTGAAAGACCAAGATACTCCCATACAACAAAACTTTAGGAATACGCTTGCTTCATCATGTTACAATAGGCGAATTTTTAATTTTATTAAGAATTTCAGAATAGAAATATTACTAACAAAGCAGTTTTCAGAAATAAAATTATAGGTACTTGCAGAAAACATTCAAATAGTGGCATCAAGTTAATTAAAATAAAGTGCAGCACATGCAATGTAAACATGGCGGCTAGAGATAAGATCTCGTTGCAATAAAACAATTTCATCATGGTCGCACCTCCTGTCATTAACATAAACAGTAATGAGGTTTACTACATGACAGATAATGAATCTCTAACGAGAAGTTAAAATACATTTACTAATGACAACGGTGTTGGATTAAATATTTAAAACATTTACAATGCAACTAGCATTAGTAAAAGCACATCTAAAGACTGAGAGAGATTGGGCAATTTTTGTGGAAAATCCGAAGCTTTAAGAAGCCAATCTGCGGGTACAAGTGAATATATTAAATTATCAATTACTAGCTACTCTCGCGCGGTTTCACCCGCTGCTCGGCTCCATTTGATCGTAGCGTGATGTTTTATAGACTATAGCACTCAGGAACATTGTAGCTATCTATCAGTGAAAGAATTTTGGCAATCGGACCAGCGGTTACAAAGATTACCCCCTACATACAAACTTACAAATTTTTCCTCTTTATAATATTAGTATAGATAAAGCATCCTAGAAATGTGGAAGTTATCGTAAAAGCTCATTTTAAGTAGTAACATCCAAAAATATGATAAGTAACTCAGGTCTGCATAAATTAGCCTTACTTTACGTCTTTTTCTATGAAAGTCTAAATTCTTACTCTCCATTGATTTATGTAGGTATATTTTGTTTCTTAATAAAAAAACGTGTTGGTTGTGTATGCCACACATCAATCACATCTAGATTCGAAACATCAATTTGTGGATCACACAAAGAGTTGTTACGTTCGGAAATTAGTCAAACGACACATTTCACAGCAACCAGTTGGATGGCCACTCCATCAATCAACAATGCAGTCATATTTATGTAGCCTTTTAACCTAAAGAAGGGCTCTACTACAATTATATGCAAGACATGGTTTCCAAATTAAACCACAATTTTAATTAAAGGTGTGGCGTTTTGTTCGTGTATTTTACAAGTAATTATTCTTGTCCTAATATGGGAAGCTAGTGATGTCATCGATTAGGGTTTGGTTTCTCATTATCGTCTGTTACAGCTATTCTATGCAAGTTTATTTCGTAATTTAAACGTATTCGATGTTTAAATAAAAAAAAAATAGTAATTTATAATAAAAAAGAATGAAATAAAAGATAGGCCTCGTCTACTGTCTCTTTCTCTTTTACTGAAGTTTTTTGTTTTAACCATGAATTTACTTATCTACAATTTTTTAATGTTATTATATTCCTTCTAGAACATGTTACTTACCGTGTACAATACACTGAGCACTCCCATCCCTCCACCAACCAGCACGTCCCACCAATGATGCCGATGGTCGCTGAGCCGGCTTAGCGAGCACACTGCGGCGTACACGATGCAAAGGACTTGCAGCAGAGGTACAAGCAGCACTGAGCGGTTGTGCCAGCTGAACGCTCGTCTTTGGAGGTACCACTGCAAAAGAAGAATTTGTTAGTTTACAGTAATAACAATAAGCAATAAATTTTCGGAATAGTAACAATCCTGATACAGCAGTAGACGAGTAGCCTTCAAAAATCCGATTTTTTAAGGAACGTGAGCTTATATATAAATAATGAAACTATAAACAATAAAACACTTACAGCTAGAAACAGCCCGCAATACATCGAGAGCGACGCGTGCGCAGAAGGAAAGCTGCGGCTCGAATCGATCTGTAGGTAGCGGGAGTACTTTGTTGATGTGCAGTGGTAGTCACTCACAAACTCTGAACTGTTGGCAAAGAGAAAATTTATTGTAGAGAGGTGTATAGAGAACTTAGGCTAAGTTCATATGGCCGCGCGGCACCGCGCGCCGCCGCGCGATGTGAGAGTTCACATGACAGGGTATATACGAGCGCCAGTCTGGCATTAACATTGATATACAATGGACGTGGAGGAGGCAATTTGCTTGTGGATTTTATATAGAAGACTGAGACGTCGCAGAAGACGACAAAGGCGATACTGGGTGCATCCAATATTAAGTGACAGACTTTCTTCAAGCCTGTTTGTCACCTTATACCCTGAGTTGAGGTTACATGAAGAAATTTTTTTTAATTATTTCCGTATGTCAGTTGCACCTTTGATTTTTTATACGATTTCATTGAAAATGATTTAAAATCCAGTGAAAATGCTGTAAGATATTGCATATCACCAAAAGAAAAACTCATTGTAACAGGCAATAAATAGGCACAATGTCATCTTCGGTACTCATTGCATCGATCTATGTGTCTTTCCGTCTCAAGGCGCGCGGATCAACTGAACAGGTCGATACAGATTTGAAATACTTGTGCCGCGCGGCAGCGCGCGGTTCTAGATCTTGCGCGCGGGTCAGAGCGCGCGGCGCGTTGGCGTGCGGTACCGCGCGGTAATGTAGACGATAATTATCGTTTATATTGATCTTGTGCCGCGCGGTTCGTAGTTCCGCGCGGTACCGCGCGGCCATATGAACTTAGCCTTAAGCAGCCGTCTACATAAAAAATATGTAAATATTTTAAGAAAACTTTTTAATTTAAAAATTTTTTGACGTTCAAAGGTAAAATAATTGTAAAATTGATTTTTTTTAACATTGCAACACTGGGATTTTCTCTTGTATCGTGGATGCGTTTACAAATGTACAATTTCACATACACAAGACTCACAGACCCGGAACGACTGTTTTATAGTTGAAAATGTCCAGCACAACTAACAACCAACAACCAACCAAGTTCATAAATAAAAAAAGATCTTATTTGTGAACAAAGTTTAAGTAAGGGACACAAAATATGTATCTACATTTATTCAAAGTTCAAAATAAACATATCTATACTATAATAGTCATATACTTACTCGTTGCAAGTGCTAGCTTTATCAGGCTGGCATAAATCGAAGAAGGTTGGTCTTGGAGACCCGACCACGCACTTGACGACCTCCAAAATGGTCAGATTGACCACAGACCCATAGATATAGTCTCTGTAGAGGAAGGCAGCGGTCTTCGCACTGGTGATGAATTTACTTTTCTTCAGGTTATACTCGTCTTCGCGTTGGAGAGTAGTTTCGACTGCCCAGAGCTGGAAAAAAGGGAACTATGAAACAGGATGCCGTGATGTTTTTTTCCCTGTTGACCGCCTTGGTGGACGACTGATGAAAATAGTCTATTTCGCCAATGTTGAGCATAGCCGATCAGAGAACGTCATAATTAAATTTGGTTTGTCGGCTGATTCGGATGAGATGTGGTCAGTCTTTAAACTTTTGGATAAAACTGCTAACGCTATCTTTTCAAACTTCGTAAAAATAGTTTAATTTTGGTCCTTTGATTAGTTAGGAATTAGATTTAATTTAAAAAATGTTTTTCGCAACAGTTCATTATATGTTTTAGGTAAATGTGTTTGATCCATTTCTTCTTCGCATGAAAGGAGGCCTTTGATCAGCAGTAGGCGAGTTACAGATTTATAATAATAACATATTGAGGCAAGATATTAGTAAACATGTTTTTTAACAAATATTTCATTACTTTCAATACTTATAAACATGTTGTAACTAATTCTACGATCTTTCTGGAATACAACAACAGTATGCACGTCACATATGTAATCCTACTTTACAATAAAGATCCGCCTTTTAATGGCCGGTGGACATTTGCTGATGGATGGACATTCAAATTTCAAAAATAAGTAATAATTGACAAGTTGCCAACTCAATAGCCATCATCTTTATTTTTTCGTTGCAGAAATAGGCATTTTGTTTTGCGTCATAAACATGGAACTAAAACAAAGACATCGGTAATTGTAACTTTAAGTGATTTCAAAAATATGTTTTTGATGGCTTCAGGCGTAATTGTGACTCGTGTATCTTAATGAGACAGTTTTGAAGCTAGACATTTACCACCGGCGGGCGCCTAGATAGACCCATTTATTTTAGCATAATTTCCACGTCTAAATTTGAGAAATAAACAATATTTTTAAATATAGTTCCTGTAGAATTAGAATGTTTTCCTATTGGGATTTTGATTTGATATAAGTTTAGTGGAAAATTTGGTATAATTATTTATGTTTGTATGGAAATATAATACTCGTCTCTTCGTGTCTCTTTTCTAAAAATGAATTTAATGAAGATGGAAGATATATTACGCATAAGTAGCAAATTTCATTAAAATCAGTTCAGTAGTTTTCATGATATTGAATTTAAAGGTTTGTCAAAAATCCATGCGACGTATTTATTCGGTCGCTAGCCTCAAGACTTTTCAAGTTCTGTGAAAATCCAAGAAACTTCTCACAATATTTCAGACACAAGACAATTTTCTCTCATTCTCATTCGCTCTTAATGACCCTTACATTTCCTCCTTAGGTACATCTGTATGCTGTAGGAAATTTTAAAAACTTTCTACAAACTGTAACTTGTGCATGTATTTGCATTGCAGCTGTGCATTTTCATAAAGTGTAATACACGGGTGTAATACAATGTTTGCATACCGAGCGCCACCTGTGTATACATATAATGTATCAGTGGCAACTACAGATAGATAGGTATAATGCTGTCCCTTCTAGAACAGTTTACAATTTTATGCGCAGCAGTCATGTCATTGTCATGTATGTCCTGTTCTTGTCATACTGATGAGAAATGGTTCAGAACAAACGCTTTTCTTATTTGGTCTTCTTGTTAGATTTTACGGTATAGAAAAGATTTTAGTTTTAACCATTTTGTAACTGGTAATTTCAATTTACTTTTTTAGATTTGATACTAGATGTATCGATAGCACATTTAGCTTGACTCAACTCTTAATTTTTTTCTCGGCTTTTTCGACTACTTCAGCGTGTGAGTATCGAAAATAAAAATTTGTTGACCACATGACTTGTGTTTGGTATTTGTACGGTACGGTACTAAACTTGGCAAGGAAGGTCTGAAATCTTAGATTCCAGATTCCAGATTCGGCATGGGCCGAATGATGAAAATTTTACATGGAGACAAAGCACAAGCAGCTCAGTAAACTGAGGGCTGGTCATAGTTATGACGGTGCTTTTAAAGATATAAATACCTTCTAATATTCTACCCTATTTCTTCAGTTGGACTTAATAACAAAGTTACTGCATATGTTATTTGACTGGTTGTTTGATCCATTCGGGTCTTTCACAAGTATATAAGTTGCTCATTGATCTACTCAACGTGGTCCATCGAAAGTCTTATCGCTGCTTACCACCAGCTAAGATACTAAGCTAAACTCAATAAAATTAGCTCATTAAAAAAAAAACAACAGGAATATAAAATACTTACAACTAAATAAGGTACGATGACTGTGATGGCAGCCACCAGAGATATGGAGAAGGTGTCTCCCGTGTGAGGGTACGACAATGCTGGATCGTTGCACATGAAGCCAGCTCGTCTGCTCGGCAACGCACCAACTTCTAGCAGGATACATACTGCTGCCACTGTTGAAGAAGAAAACGGAATGGTTAGAATGATTTAAAAAGATGAAATAAATTTCGATATTCAGTTTTTTATGGGTTATGTCGGCAAATAAATAGACAAGTCACCTGATAGTGCAGAAGCAATGGACCTAGAAAATAATTACAAACGTATTACTAATGTAGCTATTAGAGCACCTGTAAATATAATTTTTAAATGCTATACATAGACCACCGTACCGCCCGAATTGTAAAAAAAAAAATGAGGACGGTAGGTTAGGAATGGTAATGTTTAGGATGAAACCTACTGTGAAATGATTTGAAGTTGAAGATAAAATGATTAACTTAGGAAATTACGTTATACTATATAATTTCTACCAGCTACCTGAAAACAAATCACTGCCAGACTCAAACCGAATTGGACAAAAGCCAAAAGTTAAACTTTAATATTGTGTAACATCACAAGAAACAGTACTTTATCTAGAAATGATTAACAGCTTCTTATCGTCCTGAAGCATTAATAATAGCCTAATGGCCAGCTACAGCCATTGCAGTGTTACTTAAAAGGTTACCAACCTGTAATTATTTTTGAATTATTGCAATTCTTGCATCAACTGGTTGCACAAAATTGCTGTGGGTAATGGTTTACCTGCACGACAGACTACAACCTACAGGACAAATAATTATCTACATTCTAGACTGGAAACACAATGGAACTGGCAAGTTTCTTATTACTGAGGAATCGTGGATAGACAATTGACAAACGTTCTAAAGCGATCCAATATCTGAAAGCACTCTTTATCTCTGGAAGCTGGCGTGTCAGTCATTTCAATATATGCTAATATTATAAAGCTGTAGAGTTTGTTGGTTGGCTTGAACGCGTTTATCTCCGGATCTGCTGATTCGAATTGAACAATTATTTTTGTATCTGGCTATAAAACATCAACAAGAACACACGCTACGATGAAATGAAACCGAACAGCGGGTAAAAGCCCCGCAAAAGTAGCTAGACAGAAATATAAAATAAATATTATGTAACATCGGAAGTCACATTGTTTGGACTTCCTGACAAAATTATCGCGTCAGGAAAAGTACTGTTCCACAATAGCAATCTATCGAAAATAATGAAAATTTTCGATATTTTCTGAATGCTTCGAACATACGTAAATGTTATCTACAAACTCATCTTTTAATTATTGCCTTATTACCACATCTAATGAGAGATGGATTATTGCCTTATTACCATCTACCATTTTTGTTAGTGTAGCTTTTATACCTTTATTACTAGAATATTTGCGCCGACTAGAAATCTGTGTAGGCAGGCGCTAAGGGACATAGGTCAAGTAATTCAATACTCAACTTTTACCGGAAACTCATTAGCTTTGGACAAATGGCTGCAGTTTCTGCGACACGACCGACATTTACGTTAGCAATGAGCGATGTGACTTCACCTCGTTTTGTAATTTATCTCTTGGCGATTTTCACATTATTGATAGTTTAGTTTAGTTAGCTTCTGTTGCAGTTATGAAGGGTATGTTCGGTTCGTCAACATTCAAAAGTGGAGGAGGTACTGTGTTCTAGAATTGTTTAATATTTTTGGAGTTCTAGATTATATTATATGATGGATAAAATCAAAATTTACTTTTTATCCGTCCATAGCCAACTGCGATACCCGACAAGTACGTTGTTAGTCTTCTAGGTGTTAGAGATTTGAGGATTGGAGATTTTGTTGTTGAGAGAATTTGTCCATTTCCCCCCGGATTGGCCTAAGTTCTCAATTTATTTCAGTAAACTTGAATATACTGCGTTAATTTGAAGAAAATTTCTATCCATGTCTATACATATCTATCGTTTTACTCCATTAGTAAAAGTATAAGTATTCCACAATAAACAAATTTTAAGCTTAGGAAATGTTTATGACTCACTAACCCGAGCTATAACTCCTAACTACCAACATGGCCTAACAAAAACATGAAATATTTTAAGATCTATCAGTTTTGCGGCCCTCCCCAACAGGTGTGTCCATACAATTGCCGGCCCTAACATTTTCTAGACAGGCCGAGACTTCCGAGCCTACATTCTTGCTGGCAGATTGTAATTATCGTTACAATCTAATCTCTCAGAAACGCCGTCAAACCTTTGTTTACAAGATAACCGTGCATAATTAACTTGTACCGGCTTTTTGTTTTACAATACTCACACCACTAGCCAGTAAGCGTCCATCGCAGACTAAAGGCCTTATCGCACACGGCGAAGGTTTGAGCATCACCCACCACGCTTGTTCAAACGGATTGGCAATTTTAAACTATAGTTCATTTAAAATTGTAAGATTATGTTTTATAACGATTTTTATTGCCCACTGGCAATAAAGGTGAAGGTAAAAATCTAGAAAAACTAAGACGATAATTATATACAATTCTGACTGACATTGGCACTTTTCAGTTTCGGAACTCGCACCATCATGCATGAGAAGCGGAAGCCTTAATTTACCAACAACTTGGGCCACCAAGAAATTCTTCAATAGGCTTTTTGTTTTGTCTCTCCAAAACAGGTGTTTTATCGTTAAGACATCAAAAGCATTTACCTAGACCTACAATAGGGCATTCTACAGGACGCGTTCACGAATATACCAAATCGCATATCTACATTACATACTCCTCAAAAAAACATTTTAAGGATCGCACGAATAGTTGTTCCGTGCGACATTCTTCTTCCAAAGCAACCTGTTATTCAGTGCCTGCGATCTCCTAAATAAGGAATTCCTTCGTCTTCAGGATGATAAGTGTCATTCTCCTACACACTAAGCATTGTAAGGAATCTTAGCCACGTCCTGTCCTCGTGGAGAATGTTGGGTATGAAGACGCAGGTACAATGAGGTATGCGTTAAATACCTCATTAGCTAAGTTATTTGTGCCTTGTGGAAACATTCCATTATGATCACTAAAATTGTAACTATGTGTGGCAGGAGTTCCTATTGAAAGTATCTTAGAATGTGTTGTCCTTAATGGCCTTTTTTAATGACTATGGCTTCCCCTGCCCTGGGGGATGGATGGAAGTGTCAGACTCTTATAGAGTTGAAACCATCCTGTTTCTCCCCCTGCTCCGAGTCGGGTACAAGATAATTTATTATACCAATTTGTAAAAAAAGTATTATTTGTGTTGTTCTAAATCTATGTATGTTTGTTCAACTACAGATCGGCTCTGCTATGGCATCATTTTTTTTTATCATTTTGGGGCTAAATATGCGTATATGGTTGGAAATAAAAAAAAAATATGTTTTTTCATTTAATAAAGATTTTAATACAAAGCTTCTCTGTGTCTGTGTAGAAATAGTAATACAGAGGATTAGCGAGGTACACAAAGATTAGAATGTGTAGGCACACGAATTTGTCATAGTTTTAGATTCCAATACAAAGCGGACATGATAGCTAGTTATTAATCAAAGTGTTGCAGAATTTGACCTGAATGTTCTACCTTAGATTTATGCAATTTTATGCCTATTACAATAAAACCTATTTATTTGAATTATATTACAAAGAAAATTGTTCAAATGCTGCAGTTGGTAGGTTTTGCAATTACAGTAATTTTAATGTTTAGATAAGGCAACTTTTGATAAAAAAATCGCCTATTATAACTGCTGTTATATTTTTCAAAAATTAAAAATAAACTAAAGATCGTCACGCACAACCTCTTTGGTGATTCATCCTTTTTTGTAACTGGCAATAATTTATTTAACACCTCGTAATGTTGCCAGTATTAACGGTTGACATGATAATCGGTTTGTTTCTTATAACATTTTTATTGTCCTTTTTGAAAATTTTATGTATTTTTAACAATGGTCAGTTAATTCTGTTTAACGGAAGATTTTTATGACATATGTTTTTGGAAGTTGTTAAATTTTGATTTTATTGATGATAATCGTATCTCTCAAGATTATCTTCGGAGTCACGCATGACCTCGAAATTTTATTTAATTCGTAAATTACTGTTTTGTTTGGAAAGTTGTCTGTTAATATTTGGATCAATTTAACCCGTTTTGCATTATGTGGAATAAAAATGGTCTTTAAGTCAAATTTATTCCAGGATTATTAATATTTCGCTGCACAAAATTTTAGCACTACTTAATAATAATATATTGTTACTTAAGCCAGTCCTTGACAATTATTTTCGAAATTAAATTGTTACTAAAGTATAGCTAAAGTAATAATTAAATGTCTGTTAGTACGGCAGTAAGACTTTTTTCTGTAAGACTATTAAAGGTACTATTTGTACCAGATTCTTTTTGGAATAAAATTTATTTAAATAAGGTACATTCTTTTGTTATGAAAATGATAAAAAATATACTAACTATACAAAATTTATGATACATTAAATAATTTCTATTAGAAAGTATAGTTTTAAATTAATTAACAGTTCATTCCTGACCTATATTAACAAAAATTTAGTTTAAAAGTCTTGAAAGATTAATGGCGCCATTAGTTACGTCAAATACGTTTAGTTATTTGGAAACCCATTATAATGCATATAAAATATTATGTTGAATAAGTATTATCACATTCATAATTATAAGTTTAATTAAAAAGGTTTGATTTATTATTTTAAAAGAAAAAAAATGTGATTCTACTCTAGGCTAGTGCAACTATCTAAGTAGTAAGAAGTTTGGCTTTCAGTTCTGGAGTTAGCTTGACACAACGTATTGCACTGCATGGAACTACACTGTGTAGTCCACAATTTGTTGTTTCAGGTCTGGGAGGGTAGTGGCACAACGTTTCATATAAAAATCCCTCCAATACTGGCTGATAGTGTAATGTGATGATCACATCACACCATCAACCTATAAGCGCCCACTATTGAGCAAAGGCCTCTTCTCACACGGAAAAGGTTTTCCACGCTTGCTCAAAGTGGATTAGCGATTCAAACTTTTAGTTAGAAATTATAAGTCCAGGTTTCCTCAAGACGTTTTTCTTCACCGTATGTCAGTGGTGTCTAATTAATCATAGGAAGTACATATAACTCGGAAAAACC